GGGTTCTCAATTCTATTCCATTGATCTATGTGTCTGTCATTGTACCAGTACCATGCTGTCTTGACTACCACGGCAGTGTAGTAGGATTTTAAGTCAGGGAGTGACATGCCTCCTACCGTTTTTCTATTTTTAAGGAGTGCTTTGCTTCATTCGTTGCAGCCACGTTCTTAATAAGGAACAACTGTGAAGAGGGCACAGAATGATGCCATATTTGACTCTGTTGTACATGAAATTACGAGTGGGAACCAGCCTGAAAGCACCAAACAAAAACTTGCTTAAATGTAGACGACATTCTCTAAGCTTTAACTTCATCATTCATTTTTTTTCCCCTCCCTTGGAGATAGATACCATACAATCTCAACCTCAGCTTAAAATCCCATCATAAATATATTTAAATAAAACAGATTCAGCCATACACAGTCAATTTTTAAAAAAAAAAATGTTTTTAATATTAAGTTGAAGTGTGCTGGCAGGTTTTTTTTTTTTAGATTTAATTTTCTCAAATGTATGCCCAGACTGAGCATTTAGGATCTGGAAACTGGAGGGGTCCCCTCTCCTTACTCTCCTTTTGCTTTCACATACTTCCTATGTGAGCTTTTTGTTGAATTAAGAGTATAATTTTTTTTTCTTCCATACAACACTTCTCTAAAGTTAAAGCCAAAAAGGCTTCATTTGTTGTTTAACTAAAAAACTGCAGATCTATTTCAATGCTGGGAAAATAGCTAACTGTGTTAACTTATTGAGAGATCCTGTGCCTGTCTCCATGCTACTTTTGTAAGGAAACCTCAAGGCTAATTTAGGGGTAGGAGGCTGCACCTTTTTCTACTTTATGGGCTAATTTCAGAACCCTGCATTTGAGTAAGATACAACTCCATTGTACACCCTTATCAAAATTCCCCAAATCCTTCAATAATATGTTTCATTAAATTAATATGTAGGCTCCAATGGAACTTGAGTTCTACCTGAATATTCTGGCTAATATGTCATTCTTAATATATCCCAAATTCAATTAATCTTGGTCTTATCTTCTTACATATCAGCATTTCTAGACTTCCTAGGTTCTTAATGGCAACCTTCTAGCTTTTAAGGCTTAATCTTGTTTTGGTTATAAGCACAATAACATTGCCTATACCAGCCTCTCAAAAATTATTGCTTATGAGGGAGAAATGATTGCTTATGAAATATAATGTGGACAGTCCGGCCTTCACTTCCGCGTCTTTCCAAAAGAGATCCCTACCATATTGTTATCAAGTTTCCAGGCTTATTTCTCAGTTCGTCTTGAAACAAATTCTATTGTTCTGCTCACATGAAATACATTGTCATTTTGTCTTTCAAAATTTTTTTCCAAAAGCTATCTCAGTCTCCTAACTTAGAATCACCAATATACCCTGTATTATTTCCTTTTCTTTATAGTTGCTTATATTCATCCACTCTTCTGATTATATTGTAAATTTTAGGAAGGTCAGATACTATATCTTTACCTACATGGTTAGCATTATTAAACATATGTTGTGGGGTGGGTTTTTTTCCCTACAGTCTATTTTTCTTTGCTTCTTTTTTTCGTTAATGATACCTTGTACCTTTCAGATTTAACAAACATCATTTAATCTGATTGTTTGCTTAGGCACTTTGCTAAATGCTTTTTTCATATTTACTAAACATATCCTCATGTGTAATTATATTTGATCCTCAAAACAGCTTGCAATCTTGGTCTTGTTGGAATTCTCAGTGTCAAAGTGTTGTTCATCTACAAGAAACACTAAGAAGCAAACTTGCCAAACAAAATATTCACTGATGAACTGATCCAGTATAAAACTGGATTCTGTTCACCAGCTTTGCCTAATTAATGTTAATGTTTTGCTTCCCAGCCACCATAGCAGCATCTCTCTCTGTCATTCTCTTGCTAATACGGTGCAAATACAACACAAATCAAAAGGATACTACAACTGTCACCAAAAGATGCAAGACTTGATGTTTGTGAAAGTGCAAGAGAAAAGCTTAAGTCACCTGCAAAATTGTTCAGCTGAATTAATAATTGAATAAGGACGTATGGTGACTCTTAGGCAAGCACTTTAAAAGAATTTTGAAATTTGAGTAATAATGATTAAAAGATCCCATTAGGGAATTTTTCATGATTCTTCATATTAAATTGCAATTACATTTTCCTTTTTTCCTCCAAAATTCATGAAATATTTGCTCCTGTTTTAAACTATTTGTAGTGCCAATTATCCTAGATACTGAGGAGTTTTTATCAGCCTTACATAGTCAAAGTAGAAGTCCCAAATATTACCTTCTATGTCTCTTCCCCCCCCCCCACCCCTTTTTGGGATCATGTGTTTCAGTTTCTTCTGTTTCCCCTTGTCCTGTTGTTGTTTCTTTCCCCCTTTTCAACTTTGGTTCATCTTTTCCTTGTTATTACTTCTGCAATTTATCCTATTCCCCTTCTTTCTGTCTTTTAGTATTGTTCCTTTATTGTATGCACCCTAACCTTCAGTTTGTCTGTTGTCTGCCATCCCAGCCCATTTGCAATACATTTTTAATCTCATCACTGGAAATTTAGTATTTTCTATTTTGGATATTTTCTTGAAATAAAATATTTTTTATTTCTGCTTTTATGTTTCTGCTTCATTCTTCATCCATTGTTTTGGGGTTTTTTTTATTTTGGGGGAAAAAAGTTAATGTTTCTCAGAGTCTCTGTGTGCTATAAAAGGAAACTCCTGCTGCTTAAGACCATGGGTGAGGCAGAACCTAAACACCCTTCTCTGTGTGTGGCTTTTTGACTAATATTTTAAGGCTCCTTGGCAGCTCTCACTGCAGGTCTCTCTAGGCCAGTGTACTTATTTTTGTCCTTCCATTTTGCTGCCAATGGTATTTGATTTATTATTCAGTAGGTATATATTATAATCCAGATCATGGTCATCATAGTTACTGGCGATCCATGAGAAAACTGGACAATGACATAGGATTGTAAAAGTAGACTTTTTTTTTCCAAATACATTTACTATGTAATCTATATACATAAAATAAATAAAAATTCATAAAAATCCAATGTTATATACACATATACACACACTAGAGATATAGAGCTACAGATATAGATAGATGTTAATAAAAGGAGACTTTGAGTTGTGGTACTGAAGAAGAGTATTGAATATACCATGAACTATTAAGAGAACAAACAGGTTCATCCTAGAGAGGGTTAAATCAGCCTGCTCCTTTGAGACAAGGATTTTGAAGCTCTGTCTGACATACTTTGGGCATGTTGCAAGGGGGGACCAGTCCTTGGAGAGGCAAATCATGCTTAGGAGAGTGGAGGGACAGCGCACAAGAGGAAGACCCTTGATGGGATGGATTGACTCAGTGTCTGGGTAATGGGTTTTGGTGTGTCAGAGACAGTGAGGTTGGCTCAACATAGAGCAGGGTTCAGAGCTCTTGAACATAGGGTCATGATGAGTTGGAGTCCATTCGACAGCATATAACAACAACAACAAGGTATATACTAATTAAATTTCACATTTAATATTTTAATATCATAAAAACATCGTAAAACTAGATTTTGCTTAAAAACAAAATATTGGGAAATCTTAGGGAGTAGAATCTGTTCCAATCAGTGAGACACTTCCCAATTCAGAAATTTAAACATGTTAGGATATACACCTGGTCAGTAGTTTTATGTTAATTGATATCAGTGCTTTGAGGTAAGGATATGTGTAACATTAATTTCAAAGGAAGACATTTTGGAAATCAATACTCGCTAAAGAAAACAAAGCTTATAAAGTGTTTTATATTAAATTAAAATTAGTATCTTCAACTTTTGATAGGAATGTTGTAGCCAGAAAATGGAATGGCTATGCTTATGAATATTCTCGGGTTTTAATGTGTGTGACTAGTTCATAAATGCAAATGTTAATCATCCTCCCAAATTTGTGCATTTACCTTTCATTATCATTCAATGTGGGTAAAAGGTAATTCATAAGATACTTTTTAATTCATCTAAATATTGAATCTTCTTAGAGTTTAGTAATCTCATGTCTGTGATTTGGTGAAAGTTTGAAAAAAAAATAAGCACTTTGGAAAAATGTATTTCTTCATATCCTCATTAGGAAACTTCTGTTTAATTTTGTAGTCAAATCAGAAAATTAATGCCCGTTGGACCACAGAGGAGCAACTTCTAGCAGTGCAAGGTATATTAAAGATAAGCAGTTATTGTTGTTAATAATTATCTTTAACTTTTCATGAAAGGTGACTACTGTAGTTCTTCCCATCTTTTAAACATGAATCCAGAAAGAACTCTTGAATTCACCACAAAGTCCTGTTGATCAGGAATTCTTGTGCATTAGCCTGTGTGCATCTTGAGTCCTGAACAGCACCTAATACATTCTCAGCTCTAAACAAAATGGTAATTGTGACAAGCATGAGCAAGTTGATTGAGTTCTCTGTGCCTCTGCTTCAGCATCCCTGCAACTGAGTACATTCTTACTGTGTCATTCATTGGTAGCATAAGTTAACTATGATAATATATCTATACTTTCTCTAAATAGTCTTATTTGTAGTGTTCCTCAATTTGGAAAATGTCAAGTATTAAAAATATTAACTATGTGCATAATTTTAAGTATATCATAGCTTACTTAAATGATGTACCACTGAATGCTTAGAGACTTAGAAACCATATATCAATGGAATGTTGATATTTATATGTATATAAAAGCATATGCATATAGAGAGACCTAGAAATACACTATATATAGTGTTTTAAATACACGATAAAATTGCCTTGTTAAATTATATTGCAGAAGACTCTTTGTATTATTAATATACATGGACATATTAGAATTACAAACTTAGATTGCCTCATTTAAATTACTTAAAGAGCAAATTGTATATTTTTTATTCAGTGTTATGGGTTACTTTTCTTCTCAAGATAAAACTGCAGAGCTGATTGTAATTTAAAGTTTGGTTGAAATTGTTTTTCTTTCTGACTCCACTTTGTGTTGAGGGCTACTAATGCATTACCTAGATTGACTGATGTGCAAGAATGAGGTCATGTAAATGTGTCTATAATCATTCTAGCAGTGAACCACAGTGTACCATTTAAAACAAACAGTTCCTAATGTACATCAGAGAACATCATTTTAAAATACTGTACAAGCATCATTTGGCTATGAGAGTGATGTCATTAAAGATTAGTTGATGCCATTAAAGAGAATTCTGCAGTTTGGATTAAGGGATGAGAGATTTAGCTAACCAGTCTAATTTGAAAAAGTGACCAGCAGGTGTCAGCAGGATATCAGCCTTCCCTTTTGGCTTCTATGGCATACGCCAATCTTTCATAATGAGAAATTTACAAGTTTATGAGGCTGAATGATAAAAATTAGGAGCTTATATTTTAAAATTTGTTCTCCCCTACTTGAAAGGAGGTGGAGGTGGTAGGTAGAAACCTTTTCAATGGCTACTTGCTACTTAATAGTCATTTAGAACTATGTTGACTTAAAGCTCTAACATAATTTGGGTAGCCATTGCTTTATTCATATAAAGCCTATGTTTCCTTCTATCCTAGTTCGTAGCTTATTTCATAGCTGGTTTCCAGAATTCAGTTGCTTAAAGGTCAGTATTTTAAACCTGTGCTCTAATACAAGAAATTACCCCAGTGAAAGACACCCCAAGGAAGATCTGACATGGTGTTGTTCTGTCCACGTTCTAGATTTGCCCTTGTTCTGCAGCATTGCTTTAAATGATAGTATGTTTTTTAGTCATATGTCCAAGATGGATATTATGCAAAGCTGCATTCAAGCTGCAATGGCAAGATTTATGAATATAGCTTGAGCTGTATATATGGACAGTGATCTCACTTTGTAGATATTAAGATTAAAGGTGAGGTATGTTTAGATATAACTAAACAGTTCCTCTAAGATATAAATTCAGTGTTCTATTATTTTGCATATTTTATAAGTATACCTTAAAGAAGTTGCACTAATACAGTAGTATGTAAAGAATTATTTATATTCTTGGGATTTTAAAGGTACTTTCTTAGTAAGGTGTTTGCTTATGTCTTTGTTTTTATTTCTGTTCATAGTTTGGAATTTTTGCTTTCACATAGGGTTTTGTTGGGTTTTTTGTTTATAGTAAATAACTATAAAGCTACTTGTGTGTAAAATAATGATTTTAGGAAGAATTTTAAAGTGACAGTTTTGCCTTCTGTGCTCAATACACACACACACATATATATATACACACACATATACATGTATATATAATGCTCAGGAGTATGAGTTAATAAAAGTGTAATCATTTGGTAATGATACCTATTCCTGAATGTTACTGTGTGAAGTTATTTAATTACAGGGTTAGTTTTTGCATATATTGTTTGCTTCTACAAATTCTTGTCTTACCGGGCAGGTGTTTTTGTTTTCTTTGTCTTCATTTGTTTATATATTTTTATAGCATTTTATATTGAGGACATCTTACATGAGCATTCTAGTTTGACACTTTTTTTAAAAAGAAATTATTGTAGTAATGTAGAGAAAGAATGATTTACCTTAATGTCACTAGTGATTTATAACTATTAAATAAATTCTTTTTTTAAAAGTCAAGCAATATATATTACAATTCCTTGGAGTTTAAATGTGTATTTCCCACCTCATTTTCCTGTGCCATACACTCATACTATTAAATTGTGAGTTTAAATAAGTTCTCCCTTGATTAGATGGGGAGATAATAAGGCTAGGATTAAGTAAAATGTTTATACTTTTGTAATCTTGTTTTCTCTTAATTCTGGTTCTAGCTATGTTATAATTTCAGTAGCCACCTTTAAAAGCTCTCAGTAGTATTTATTATAAATGCCAGTAAAAAATAATTTCCATGAATAGCACTTTTACAGTTTCTGTCACCTGTTGTATTTTTTTTCTTTTGTATTCTTAAATACCTGTTATCACAGAGACCTATTATGCTCCTCACATATTTACATTATGATTACTAGTATTCCTGTTTAAAGCTATGGGATTCACACACAGACTTTTTCCCCTTATAGTGATGTTAAAAGATACTCTAAAATCAAACTTGATGTCCATTTGGCAAACATCTTTATATTAAGCACTAAGAAAGAAATTAGATCCTGGGTATTTTTCTTTTCTTTTAATGTGAAAGAGAGCAATTGGCTGTTTTTATAAACTAACAAAATACTATAATAGTACAAACCGTTTACTCTCTATACTATGTGGCAAGAAACAACATGGTCTAAAGTATTTGCAATGTTTATTTTATATCTTAAGCGTATTTATTTTCTAGTCTTTAGTGTAAGATATTGGAAGCAGGAGTGGCATCCAGTTCCTAAACAACATGCCTCTGGAAATTCTGTAAACTTTGAGAAGTGATAGTTAACGAAAGGCTTTAGGTGTTTTGTTCATGGCGTCGCTATGAGTTGTGCTTGACTCGATGGCAGTCAACAACAACAATGTAAGATAAACATATGTGTTTTTGTTGTGAACTGTTGAGTCAGAAACAACCCATAGCTTACCTGTCAACAGGTTTTCAGAGGCATTAGTATAGATGAATAGATGGGTTTATCTAGCTCTGATCTAAAACATTTGTGCTGCTTTTGGGTAAAGGCCACAATACCCAGTGTTATTTATACCTAGCTATCAAGTTCAGGTTTTAGCTCTTTTTTTATATTGCTTGCCTTCTCACATAAAACAGGAAAAATTTATGTTCCATTGGGTTATGTTTGTAGTTAAATGTTTTTCTTTCTTTAGTTCATGCATTACTTTTTAATAAAACTGAAGTTACAAGTCTAGAGGTTGTCTTGTAACTCCATACTTTTGAAAAAAAAAAAAAAAACAACTAGAGTGATTCATAAAAGAGAAAAAAGATTTTTGTAGTTACTAAAAACCAGATTGTAGCCCTGTATATGAAGAATCAAAAAGAAGTAGAGATAGATTTCATGCCTGTCTACTTTTTTTGGCACTGGTTTCCTTTAAAGAGTTGTCAGTGATAAGAATATTGTAAGAGTGGAAGTCCAAAAGTGTAATCGTCAGCTCTTTGGTGCACATACTTAAGAATTAATGATTGAGTATTCTCATCATTTTTATGGTACAATTTAAGTGATAACAAGGAAGATGGAATGCATGAGCCAGAAGAGAAAGAAGAGCCATTGCAAGGAGAAAGTACAGTTTGACCCTTAGACCTCATGTAGATGCACCAATCACTGTCCCATGGTTAGCGGTATCTTTTCCACCTTCATTATCAATTTTTGAGAAACTTATAAGAGGTAGAAATAAGTACCCAAATGGTCTGGGGTTTAAATTTTATTTTCTTGCTGATAGAAAGCAACTACATTCTTGGAAAAAAATCCATATAAAAATAGATTTTTGAAAAGTATTTACCAGTTATCACTTATTTTAAGAAGTTTTCTTTCAGAAGCAGTTTGCAACAATTATTATTATTCACCTCGTTTTATAATCTAAAATCAAATTTTAAAACTAAATATTTAAACCATCTATCCTTGGTATCCTTTCAAACTCAGAGTTGAGAAATACCATATTATAAATATTCTTGAAGTTGCTATCTTATTAGTGAAAATTTGAATTTTGGTTTTTGTTTTGGTTTTTTTTTTTCTGTTTTGGGCAATATAAACTCCTAGTTGGAAAATGTGGGCTTTCACTAAAATGTAATAATAGAATATTCTAATGAATTCTATTTTCATGTATTTCCCAAATAAAACTAGTATGCAAATTAAGGATTATAAGATACTGGCTTATCACAGAAGAGAAAGCCAAGTTGTTTCACTGTGGCTCAAATGAAATTTAGAAATTTTTACTAAAACCATTTTTTTTCTCTCTGGGAAGTTTATTATTTGCTTCTTCCATGGTTCTCTTAATTTTTATTCCAGTGACCCCTGCCAGTCTCCTCCTGCTCCAAAATTAAGACGTTTAACTGATTTAGCAGCTATGGCTCCACTGCACCTGACCTTTTATATCTTCAGGAAGAGAGATGAATCATTTTATTCAACTCCCTTAATGATAAAGCAAACAGGTTGCCTTGTTTATTATAAACTCTGGGAAAAGGATAGATTGTCTTTTTTCCTAGGTCCAGATTGAACCTGTGGTAGCTCTGGTGTCATGGTGTTGTTAAAGTTCTTTACTCTTAATCACTGTGCACTGCTAGATTTCCCCCCCAAATCATCGCTAACTTCTAAGGAAAAAGTTCCACCAAATCTTTTCTTGAGGTAGCCTTTGACTAGAGTGTACGTAATTGTCAGCCACAGTACAGATGTAATCAAACATGCTATTCAGCTTCATTTAGGAATGTGAAGATAATAAAGAAGGTAATCATAACATGCCCCTTGTAGTTTTAGAAAGAACTGGGAATAAACGTAGAATTAAGCTTTCTAGGAAAGAAACTGAGTCATGTTTTCTGAATCCTTCTGTTTAGCCAAGCACTGCAGCAGTGCTGGTGCTGATTTAAATCCCCCAGTACTTCCCAGCCCTTTCTACATTGTGACACGCAGAGGAAATGAAGACGTTTGTCATGGTACACTGAGGCAAACAGATGAGGTTGCTCTTGCCCAGAGGTGATGCCAAGGAGTGTGTCCTGACATATCCTGCAAGCTCAGAGGGTTAATACGGTGGCACCCTTGTTCTCAGCACATTGACTGGGTGGGGTCCTCAGCCAGAATAAAGAAGTCTGCAGTGTGGTCGGAAGAATAAGATTTTGCAAAGTTAGTGATATAAGATATGCATGAGTTTAGAAACACATAGACATTTGACTTAAAACCTATGTAACTTGAAAAAAGTCTTTGACATTTAAAGTCTCTGTAAAAACTAAAGCTACTATTGGAAGTAGTTCTGGATTTGGAGTCTATAATTTTAGAAATATACCAGTAATTGATAATAATTTCATTCCATTGAACAACAGCAAGTCAGATAAAAGACGAAAGTAACAGAGAAGAGCTATATCATGAAAACAGATGTGGGGATAATTTAATAGTAGTTCCTTGAGGTTTTTTCCTAAACAAATAGATGTTCTGAAGGTTTGTAATATCTTCAGATTTGGTGTTAAAGTTAGTCCTAATGTAACTTCTTGCTAGGATCCAAAAGGTATAAGCCTATCTTTCTAGATTTCTTCAGTTGTGTTTTGCTGCCATTTTTAGAGGTAAATTAAGTGCTCATGAAAACTAGTGCACTTCTAGAGCACTGTTTGGTATCATTACTCATTATCCTTCAATAATCAAGTTAAAAGAAATGGCATAGAAACTCAGTCATTTTTTAAACCGGTTTTCCCCCAGAACTTAAGTGGTAAAAGAGTATTTGAATATACAACAATGATTCCTACTGTGAAACAACACTGGATTTTTATTGCTGTGAAGACTGGTTGCTGTTATTATTTGTACTTAACTATGCAAATATAAAATCACCTTGTGGATTTTAAGGAAAAATAAGCTCATTTTTGTTGATAAGCACTGTAAATTTTGCCTCACTCTCATTATTACTTTATTACCTTATATGTGTCTTTCTCTTTGAAAAAAGAGAAAATGACCGTAGTTTACAAGATCAAAACTTAAATTGTATTGTGGTTAAAGGGTATTAGTGTCAGTCCTACTACCCAGAATGTTCTAAACTCTAGGAACTTCTCCATAGAATAAGCCCAACTAATAAAGATAGCCAGAGATGCTTATTCCTGACTTAATCAGTATAAGTATACTTTCCAGTATAAGAATTTAAGAATGGAAATTATGCTACATTGTGGTGGTGCTTTAAGGGAATAGGCAGCTTTGTACCAGTTTGTGTCACTTACGAATATAGCTAACATTTCTACTGGACTGTTAATCTATCCTTATATTATCCTTTCACATGTGAATATACATATTTGTTTATATATACTGAGCTCCCTCTTTATATCTGCTCTTTATATCTGCTTACAGTAAAATAGCACTTAAGTAAACATCAATATTTTTGTCTGTTTTTCTTATATTTTTCATTGATGAGTTACTGTTTGTGATATTTTAAAAAGTAGGTATCAAATGATAAAACTTCTGATAAATTTCTGTTTTTAGTGAAGTTATTCTTTTTACAATCAATGAGTAAACTGTTAGGGTTTCCTTAAAAGGAAATTATTACCTATCTGAATTTATGAAGTAATTTTAAAGTCTGCGAAATGATTAACACTCTCAAGTTCTTAAATCAAGTTTTATCTTTCATAGTAATGTAACTTCCTTAATGAAAACTTAGCTTCACACACTGTACAGCCCTTCTTAAGGTTTACAGTGGTGATGATGAGCAAAATAAGTGTCACCGATACTATCTTATTCTTCAGGCTGGGAAGCATAGCTAAGAATCCGTCAGGGATACAATCTTTAGAATTCTTAGAAGAATTAAAATCTTAGTAACTCTGAAAAATAGTTGACTTTGTCTATGAGCTCATGATGATTTCTTGTTTTTTCAAATTTAAATTCTTCTCTTTTCTATTCTTTAGTACGTTGGTGCAGTAGGCAAGTTAGCATCTTGAAGTTAGTATTAGAACCCAAATTAAAATGCCTTTCTTAATGGGGATCCTTAAAGCTATTCCCACAGTCCATTGAGGGGATAAAAGCAATGGCTCATTCCCATCCAGTTTTGTTTACAAACGGTGTTGCTCAAATTTAGGTGACTGGCTACTAGGGAAATAAATGAAAGTGGAATTGAGGATGGAACAAAGAATTCAATGCTTTACAATAATGGACTGTATTTGAGAGTTCGAGAGAGGATTGGAGAAAATAACTGAGTATGTAAAAAATGGTAAGTTTCTGATTGTTCAGTTGAAGGCAAGTGGCTGGCTCGATGAAATGACATAATTGATAGTTTTCATCCTGTGACCCTAATATCTTAGCCTCTGTCTCAGAATTGAGAAATGAGCAGAGTTTATCAGAAAGGATTTGCTGATATCTTTGTGAGCGCATGATGTATAGTACACACAGCTCTCCTTATTGATCCTTCACAGGTGTATTATTTACTTTGCCTTCCAGGTGTCCGCAAATATGGTAAAGATTTTCAAGCTATTGCAGATGTAATTGGCAACAAGACTGTTGGCCAAGTGAAGAACTTCTTTGTAAACTACAGGCGTCGGTTTAACTTAGAGGAGGTATTGCAGGAGTGGGAAGCAGAACAAGGAACCCAGGCTTCTAATGGTGATGCTTCTACTTTAGGGGAGGAGACAAAAAGTGCTTCTAATGTGCCATCAGGGAAGAGCACTGATGAAGAAGAGGAGGTGTGTTTGTGTATGGAATTTGAGTTAATATGAGTTGAGGAATCACCATTTTATGTGGTGTTCTGTAAGGTTAATTTGCCAGAGGACTAGCTAAATGAGCATGAAAGGTTGACAATACACTTACTCAGAGGTGCATTTCTCGTGACTCTTAAGTCATAATGACATGCTAAGTTCTGATCCTAGAAGAATGGAGAGTGTATTGTTCTTTCATAGTCTTATTTTTATTTCTAGTGTTAAGTTGTTTACTAATAAGATGCCTGTTTGGGTAGCTTCGTTGCTTTTTCAGTTTTTTATTTTTCGTTTTGTTTTGTTTAAAATGAAAGAAGCTTGTGCTTCCGATAAACACTGGTGTTATGTTTTTGTTCTGTTTTTGTTCTGTTTTTCCTGTGACAGCCCAAACTATATTGTGTTACGTTCATTAGGCACCATCATCTCATACGTGTGTTTTTGTTTTCTCACCTCTAGGCACACACCCCACAGGCTCCTCGGACTCTGGGTCCATCACCACCTGCCCCATCATCCACTCCAACACCAACCGTCCCCATTGCCACTCTGAACCAGCCTCCACCACTTCTTCGTCCAACACTGCCTGCTGCCCCTGCTCTTCACCGGCAGCCTCCTCCACTCCAGCAGCAGGCGCGGTTCATCCAGCCCCGGCCAACTTTAAATCAACCTCCACCACCTCTCATCCGCCCTGCTAATTCTATGCCACCTCGTCTAAACCCAAGACCAGTGTTGTCCACAGTTGGTGGTCAACAACCACCGTCACTTATTGGAATTCAGACAGATTCACAGTCCTCACTGCACTAAAAATTAACTTGAACAGAGCTGCTGTAACTCTTCACCCCATCATTATGCCAGTGCTCATCTGACTGTTGCAAAAGAGAGAAAAGGATAACCTTCTAGATACTGAGGCTACGGACTCGTTTTGTGGCTGTGGAATAGCATAAATGGGTGTCTTAAGAAATGTTTCAGTTCTTTGGACTAAAATGGTATGCAACAAAAGCCTCCCGATAGCTTCCTTTCTGGATATGTGTTCAGCAATGTGAACTCATAAAAGGAAAAAAAAAAAGATTAAGTATTCTATATACCAAGGAGGGGTTTGTTTTTGCTATATTTATTTTATTGAAGTTCATTATATTCCAGTCTCTTCATAGTCAGGGCTCTTAGTATAGGAATATTAGGAATTTTGAAAACTCCTTAAATTTCTTAAGGATATTTTTGACTTTCTCTCTTTTTTTTTAATTTAATTTTTTAAAAATAAACATTTTCCTATGTTAGGAGTACAAAAATAAATAGCCTTCATTTCACATTTTGCCATATATTCTTTTAATGCATATTTAAGAAATGATACCTGTATATCATATCCCTTGTTTGAAAATACATTGCTTTTTTCCCCAAAGGAATTTTAATATATTCCTTTTTTAAAAAAGCAGTTTAATTAATTGCAAAGCAATTATATGAAACCACAAAGAATGTACTGGACTTACTAACCCTTTCACATAGAATTAAGGGCCCTAGTGCAGAGTCCTTGTCTAAAGGTCATTGGCCCATCATCTATCAATAATAAGAGAATTGGAATAATGATTTTACAGATGAGAACTTAATTTGCTCAAGTACAGTGTCTTTTATTAAGTTTCTTAAAAATGAAGTTAATTTTGATTTTGATTTTTTTTTAATATTTCTAATACTATATGGTTTTACCTAGTAGTTGCCTATACTTGGGAGCTTTAGGAGAGAATTCTGTTTTGTCATTTATGTAGAGGTGGTGGTTATGGAAACATTTATTTGCAATGCTATTTTTGTGTTTAGGTTTTTCTGAACTTAAAATTATTCTTGTACTTATTAACATGGTCTGCATTTAATATAAAAAAATGTTTTCTTGGTAAATCTTTGTCATATTATTTGAATGCATTTGTGTATTCATTGCAGCAAACTTGTACTTGTGGGTTTGGTTTAGGGTTAAATCATCAACATTATTTCATAAAATAAAAATTAAGAATTCATTCTTTGTTATCTAAAATGTATTCGTATATTGTCAAAATTGTGTTATTAACCAAAAATGCTGAGACCCCTTTTTATGTAAAAAATAGGTATTTCCATTTTTTTCAGTTCCACCCATAATCATTAAGCACCTATAAAGAATACAAGTAATAATGTTTCACAATTTGTTACTGCTATTTTTTATAAAACAATTTAATATTGGAATCATGACTTGTGCAAAGGGACTAATCACTTAAATTGTGGAAGTAGTGGTATATAAGGCTAAATGTTTGCACATTCCTTTCTTTTTACATTTAGAACTACTTCATAATATGGTCAAAAGTTAAGGGCTTCACCTATTTTGAAAGGTTACATTTTTTTCCCAGAATATTGGGAAAATTGTCTCCACTTTAAAACATTGAGAAGCTAAAACTAATCTGAGAATTAGTTTTACCTCTGAAATTCTTCATTCATAAAGATCTGGAGTTCTGGCATAATATAATTTTTTTTCCCCCCAGAATAGTTCCTTTCTTCTTCATTGAATTTTTTTCAGATAGTTCCTGTTTCTGGATTATAACCAGAAAAGCTCTTCACTGACTTAGAAGGTCAGAAAATTCAAAACTTTTGTTTCTTTTTAAGACCATGGGGGACAGTTACTTATCTTAAAATATCTAAAACATTTTTTAAAGAACCTAGATCAAGTCTTGCATATGTGCATACTATACCTTTACAGCTTTTATTGTCTTGTCTCTCGTCAGTAGACCTTTAGTAGATAGTATGTGGCATATGTCAGTCAGGTTGGTCAGCCCCAACATCTGTCTAGCTTTTCAGTATATTGTAATTCATTTAAAATCTGTCCTATCCCAGACATGGGCCAAGGTGCTGTATCTGAGGGATGTGCTGTAATTTGATTTAAATACATTAGGACACACAGTAGACAAATCTTAGCTTCATTAGTAATATAACACTTGTATATAGTGAGATGTCTTTATTGTGTGCTTTGCATATTTTGTAAATATTTTGCACGTCATTATTTTTCTTTTTTGTTTAAGCAGTGTTTGGCCTGGAAGAGTGATATGCTTGCTGCTTAATCAAAGGATTAAAGATTTAAAGATGTCTATGTCTTCTATTTTTATATAATTTCATGTTGTATGAGAAATTTAGGACCTCTTTACTGTGAAATTCTAAATCCTGATTTTTATAAAAAAAAAACAAAAAAAAACAAAAAACCAAGAAATCTCTTAATGACCATTTTCATTAATTTCAAAGTTGTTATTTTGAAAAATTTACACATAAGTGTTTTCTGTTTTTATTTTTACTGCATAAAATAAACCAGACTATTGATATATCTAGTAAATTTAATGAAAAATATACTCTGTATAACTTAATTCCAGTGTAATAGGATGAAGGCTAAGGTAAGTTTTGATCAAAAATTGTCCAAAGTAAATTTGCAATGAAGTGAGTAAAATGTAAAATAAAAACGTAAGCATTTAAAATTGTCTTAATGTAGGCCTATATTTTTATAAAGTGTCGTAGGGAGCAGGCAAAGACTATGACAATTCAATAAAAGCAAAAGAACCCCTCAAACTCACTGCCATCGAGTTGGAAGTGACTTGTAGCAGACCCTCTGTTGGATTCTCAGAGGCAGCAAGTCACAAAAGAGGAAGTTGCCTGTCTTTCGCCCAGTAAGCAGATGGTGGATTTGAACCACATGCCTTTGGGTCACCAGAATGTGTTTGACACATTATTCTGTCTAACTCCCTACCCACTAGACCACTAAAGCTCCCATATCAAGGTAAAAGAACAGGGAAACAGGGATACTATTGGAAGAATCCCATAATAGTTTCAAAGACTAGTATGATTACTACCTTCCAGTATTTCGTGCCGACTTAGTGGGTTGGACTTAGTGATTTGTTCCTAATTACTTATTAGGTGCCTTCAAGTCCACTATGATTCATAGTGACCCTGTGAACAGCAGATTGGGACCCTTGTCCTATCCCTGCCATCCTCATCTCTGTCACACTTGAGCGCATAGTCATTCAGTCCATTTCACTGAGAGTCTTTCCCTCTGCTGACCTTCTTCTTTCCCAAGACTGCCTTCTTCTTTCCCAAGACTGATGTCCTTTTCTAAGGCCTGGCCCCTCCTAACAACATGCCCTAAGTTTGTGAGATGACATTTCACCACCTTTTCTTCTAGGGAGCACCCTGGCTGCACCCTGTCCAAGACCAATAGAATAGAGCAAGGATGTCATTGCTGTGCTTAGGTTACATTAACTCATCAAATCAGTTTACAAAAGATGGTGATAATCTATCTTGCTAGCAAACTACTCTCTGCTTGCATGCTTTGTTGATGCAAGCTGCCTTGCTCAAGAGGTCCATGAGATAAGGTGCACAGGGCAGCAAAGGACAGAGGCCCTCAGTTCAAATACCTTTTAGGGACTGAATCCTGCTAACAGGTAAACCACCTTCCCCAGTTGGTTCTTGAGATGGCTAAAGCCTGCAAACACCTTGATTGAAACTTAGGAGAGATCATGAAATGGAGAGCTTCCATAAGCTGTGTCCTGAGGCCTTACTCATAGAAACTCCGAAATAGTAAATGTGCAGGGCTTTTAGCTACTATGTTTTGGGTGCATCTGTTCTGTAACAAATAGCACGATGGTTTAAATAATCTTACCACTAAGAGTGACTATTAAGATCAGACAAATCTGATTTCAAATTAATATTGTCAGTAATAAAAATGGTCCCTGATAGAACTTTGAAGAATAGACAAATCCACCATTACAGTCAGTGATTTCAGCAATCATCTGTCAATGATTGAGCATGTAAACCAGGATCAGTAAGAATTTAAGGACTTGTACAACACACAAGTGAAGCTTACAGATTATTCTACCCAAGAAACAGCAGAATAAATCCTCTTTGCGGGTCCATAAAATGCCAAGAGCATGTTGTGTACCATAAATAATAAATGTAAAACCATTCAAATCATCAGGGCAAGTTGTTTGAATACAATGAAATTAGAAGCCAGTACTTGAGGCATGTAGCCAGAAGGGACCAGTCTTTGGAGAAGGACATGCTTGGATGGGTGGAGGGACGGCACAGGAGAGGGAGACCTGGGATGAAATGGATTGACACAGTAAGTGGGGTAATGATCATAGGCGTTATCAGAGACAGAGAAACTAACTGGCTCAGGACAGAGCAGAGTTCAGAGCTGTTGTGCATAGGGTCGCTTTGAGTCATGGTTGACTTGATGGCACAACAACCACCACTGAAGAAATCTCTGAAATCTCCAGTTACCTGAAGTTAATTTATTTCTAACTTGTGAGTAAAAAAATAAATTACAAAAACAATTAGTGGAGTATATACTAAAAAAACAAAAAAAAAAAAAGCAAACCCAAAGTATAGGATGTGGGCAAAGCACTGCATAGAGAGAAATGTATAACTTTTATACTTCTATTGGTTGTCAGGTGCCGTGAAGCCAACTGTGACTCAGCGAACCTTTGAACGACAGATCTGAAACTTGCCCCATCCTGCGACATCTTCACCATCTCTGTTATGTTTGAGTCCATAAGTACAGTAACTGTGTCAATCCACGTTGGTGAGAGTCTTCCTCTTGGACCAGCCACCTTTCCCAGCATGATGTTTTTTCCCAAAGACTGGCCCCTCCTGAACAACATGGCCAAAGTACTTGAGACAAACTTTCAAAATCCTTGCCTCTAAGAGCACCCTGGTTGCACTTTCTCCAAGACAGACTTGTTTGTTCTTTTGCCAATCCTTGGGGTATTTAGTACTTTTCTTCAGAATCACAATACAAAGGCATTAATTCTTCTGTCATTCATTATGATGCATAGGAAGTAAAAAGACCATGGCTGGTTTGTAGTAGGTGCACCTTGGTCTTTAAACTGATGCACCTGCTCTTTAGCACGTGGGAGAGGTCCATGACAACAAATGTTCCCAATGTACTAAGGAACTTGACTTTTTTTTTTACTGTTGTTGCCTTGGGTATTGATTGCAATTACTTCCTGTGCATCTGAAAGTCGAACAGTGAATAAGAATGGCAGAAGAAAAATCAAGGCCACTGAACTGTGATGTTGGAGAAAAATATTGAATATTCCATGGGCTTCCAAAAGAACAAAAAAGTGTTTATTAATGGGGGGGGGGGGATCCAAGATCAGCCATCTAAACTCTCATCTTAAAATATTAGAAATAAATGAGCCAGGCCAACTCAGAATAAGAAAAAGAAGGGAAATAAAAATAACAGAATAAACAAATCTCTATTTGTCTCATTTCTCATTTTCTTTGGGTATATTCCAAGTAGTGGAATTGCTGGGTCATATGGAATTTCTATGTTCAGCTTTGAAAATGCCAAACTTCCTTCCAGAATGGTTGAACCATTTTATAATCCCACCAACAATGTATAAGAGTTCCTTTCTCGAGGGGATAACTAATGTATACAGCATTGAAACAGATGAGAGAAAGAACTGTTTAAAAGGGATATGTGATTAGGTATAATTGTCATAACAGGAATCCAGAATGAAGGCTGCTTGGTGGAGTGGACTTGAGGGGAGGGGCTGTATAACAGTAAAATTTTTCTTATACTTTTCATAGAGAAGAGCGAATTGAGGGGGAAGGATGGGCTGGGAGAAAAGTGCAACAACGAAT